GCAGCATCCAGCTGGTAAGTCGGGGGGGTGGGGCCTAGGGGAGAGAAGGAGCATGGGGTGCAGGGGCAGGCACTGCCCACCTGGGGTGGGGCACTGGATGGAGTTGGGGGCAGCTCATCTGGGGAATGCGGAGGGGGGTGGTTCCTGCCACTGTGTGCACCCTCAAGGGAGGCATGGGGGGCATGTTTCCCCTGGATTTGTGTGTGGGGTGAAGGTGGGATGTCTACTCGGGGCCAGGGGCTGTGCTGGCCTCTTCCTGATGGGGGGACTGGGCTGGGGCTGCCCTTGTGGTCGGCAGGGCAGGCGACAGTGGTCCTGGGGAGTGTTACAAGGTGGAAATGTAGCTACCCCAGAATTTGCTGTAGCTGTCCCTCCCAGCGCCACCACTACTGCCCACCCCGACTGCCCCAAGCACAGCTTTGGCCCAGCCCCCCTGGCTCTAGCCAGCAGCGGGCAGCCCACCCTTGCCCTGCGCACAAATGGGGGGTGGGGGGGGGAACACATGCTTCCTGTGGGAGTGTGCGCAGCAACAGGAGGCTCCCTCCAACTCCCTGGATGAGTTGCCCACAGCTTCGCTCTGTGCCCCAGCCCCACTCCCTCCCTTGCTGTGGGGACCTCAGTCTGCCCCCCATGCCCCTTCCCCACTAGACTTACTGTCTGGACAGTGCTTTCCAAGATGCTGGGCTGCATTCCTTGCTGTTTGTATGGTGCAGCTGCATGCATGCACACAGCATTTATCGGTGGCATTATCAGCCACATTGGCTAAAAAAAGGCTGATTGCCAGTGTTGATACGATACGGATTGATATATTGGTGTACCTCGGGTTCCGAGTGAACTGTATCTTGCAGATGACTCAACTATCTCCTGTCATCTCTCATTCCTTTCTGCCTTATGTTTGCCGAGTGATCCTTTGACTCCAGATTGGCGAAAGTGGAAGTAATACCCACTTGATAATTGTCATAAATGTTCATCTAATGTGATCTAGAAAAATCAGTTCTTGCATTGTTCAATCCCATCCCAGACAGAACAATTTGAGGTTAGCAGCTTGCCTATTGAATGGCAATGCCTAAGTAAGATGAAGTGTTTTTCAAAGTATAGCGTCTTGTCTTGAAGTAGGCTTTTCAGTCTCTTGTTCTACTAATTGGGTTTGAACAGAATTTGACTGGTATCAAAATAAATAAATAAGCCCCCAAAAACAAGACTTTCCAAACTTATAGATTTTTTTTTATAACAGAGGCAGGCCTTTGAGACGTTAAAATTGCAGCATTAAGTGGTGTCATAAATGCAGTGCCATTAAATTCTGTCAATAAATAAATGGGGCTGAGAGTCTTTAATGCAGCAACTCTATTGACAACTCATTTAATTGTGTTAGTGGGCTTGGCCCATAGTGCCAGATGCAGTCTCGGCCCATAAATTGCTTTTATTTTCTTCCATAAAATGTGCATCTTTGTTGCAATCACATTTGCAAGAAGTCTCTGAATTCTTGTGGAAGCCAAAAACATAACTATATCTTTCTTATAGGACAAAGTAGGGAGGCCAAGAGTCATTTGCAGCTAAATCTAGCTCTTCCATTGTGCCAAGGGAGGCTTCACCAGGACAAAAGGCCCTATTCCATCTCCTTTTGCTACTAGAGGTGCATAAAAGTAATGGGTTGGGGCAAAATAACTTGTTCTAATGTTTCTGTGGAGCTTTGGAAATACTTAAGGGCATGATGGACAAATTTAAAACAGCCTACAGTATTTGCAGAGAGAGAGAGGGGCAGCCCAGTTATTTCGGGAAGAGCTCCATTCCTGGAATAAGAGGTAATACTATCCATTTATTTACCTGGCATACCCTTAAAGTGTTTTGAGGAAATAATTTTGCTGTTTTTCCATAAAACTGTGGATGCAACCCAAATTCCAAAACACAGTGCTTTTATGATTGGCAAAGATGTAATTACAGTTATATTTTATGCTTTTTTAGATAAACATACATTCAAAATAAGGCCTTAGAAGTTATTCTAAATAAGGATTCTAACTGTTATTGAGAGCCTGTTGGTTGTAAGATTAGAATGTAAAGTGATTTTTTTTAAATAGGATTAACTGTAAACACATTGCAGATTAAAAGGAGTTTAAAGATCACTTTAGCTTTAAAGCTTTTCACTTTTCCCCTTTTGTACATATTTCTTTCTCCTAGTATAATTCCTGGACTTGGGATTTGATTGATTACTTTTGATCCCATTCTGTACTCTGCTTTTTTTTTTTATCAGCATTTGAATGGAGCCTCACTCCTAGAAGGTTAAACTTTTTTAAATCCTGCTAGCTCAGAGGAAGAGATTGGAACTATTCATACTGCTGTAAACAACTCCTGTTATGACATCTGGCTTGTCACTGTGACCCTTGTTTTGCTTCTGTTTTGAAAAACCTTGCATTAAAAATCTCAAAAAAATTTTTGTATTTTTTGCTTATAACCAAAGTATTTACTTATTAAGTTGCCATTTCAGAGTTCCATCTTTAACTGAGATTTCTGCTAAACTGCATATTGCACAACCGGAAAATGACAGCAGTGTTGCAGTATTAAATATTTATTCATCCTCATATTGTCAATATGAAGTAAGTAATCTGCATTCATTTTTACAGTTTATATTGTTGTAGAGCTGTTGAGATTTGTCTCTTGGCATATTGTAAATGACTGTTGGCAAGGAACTCTGTTATCTAATCCAGAATTTTCCTTTTCTTTCTATTAATGTGGTATAAGTTTAAAATTGGTTATGCAGCAGGTGAAGTGCTACTGAAAGCTGATAAATATTTTTCAGGAAACCAAAAACTTAAGCATAAGTGTTAATATTCTACCTTTTGTGACTACCATTCAGAATACTTATCACTGAACAATGATAACAAAATATTAAAGTTCTTTTTTGTGTGTTCAACAAGGTAACCATCAAGACTTCTTTCTTACAAGTTCTTGGACAAGTAAGAAAACCTTTTTAATACTGAGTTTTGTGTAATGTATCCCTAGTAGTGTATTATGCATTGTCTCTTTAATTAATGCCAGGGCACATGTGGAGAAGTACCTGGGTTTTTTTAAATGGTTTTTATCTTTGCATAGTCTTTATCTTAAGATAAAAAAAATATATGAACATAGAGTGCACCAAAATAATGTTTGGATATATTACTTTTTTTTCTTAAATATCCATACAGTATTATAAAACCTTTCTTTACTATGCCCTTTTGGGATTCTTTTTTGGGTACTCTGTATGAGACTGAGACAACTCTGTTAGATTAAAGTTCTTTTTTACTTAGCAAGTCATCATGGCAAACTGAGCAACTCTGACATGAACTCTAAAATACTCATGGCTGGGTCATGAAAATGTTGCTGGTGATTATTTCTGGTGTATAAACTGACCAAACTAAATTATTTTTTACCTATACCTATTTTTTTACCTATAGCTTGTCAGTATGTTAATTATAGGGCTTTATCATGATGTCATTTTATGATACAAAGCACCTCTGTGCAGTAAAATATTAGTTTATTGGATACATAGGTTTTTTTTGGCCTAAAGTCTCCTCTAATCTTATTTTTTATTATCTGCTAATGGAAAGAGGAATGAAATACTCTGAATAATCATCTCCTTGAGGATTGCACTTTTGTTTCGTGTTTATACACATTCTTTTGAACAATATAAAATTCTGATTTTTGTTTTTACTACATATTTATTTTAGGGTGTATAAGTTATATTCTGAGCTGACTTCTAAATTTAGTTGTTGTTTATTATTATCTTGTTTTATGTGAAACAGTTGAGGTGTTAGTTTGTTCCTTATACACTTATCCCAAGGGGAGAAAATGTGGGTATGAACACATACACGTTTTTGCCACTTTAAAAGGGGATGGGGTTCTGCTACTTTGGAATGCCCTGTAGCTATTCTGTTGTAATCGTTACATTTGCATGATTCTGTAGTGATACAAGTGAGCTAAATCCATCCTAATTTTGACACTGAATGAAGCAGGGCTAAATGTGGAGTGATTCTGCTGCATTTGTTACGTCTGCATGATTCTTTAGGGGTATAGTTGCAGTGTAACAGCTTTTATCATATCTGTCCACACCCTCTGAAACATTTTTGAGAGGTTATTCCTATAACAAATACACAAACAGGGAGCTACTGGGTTGTGGGTTTATGAGCATTTCTCATGTATAGCTCTGATCACTAACAGGGAGTCCTTGAGTGTGGACATACCAAGGGAAGAACAGAAATCATACCTCTTAAACTATTTAGCAATCACATTAGTATGAGCCGGTTGTATTAATCTCTTAATCCTTTTTTATATACTCATGTTACTTTATAACTTCCTTGTCTTCCAGCTAATAAGATTCCATGGTGGTACCCTTCCTGTGTATGTTATTTCTAATATTCTTCTTGCATATGGAGGACAATTAAATACATTAATTTCAACAGGTAATACTGCATAAAATGATTTAGAGCCATGCTATAATCCTATGCTTATACATTGTGATCAGTATATTGCTTTCTGATTTCACAGGGGTACACCAAGGTGATTTGTCTTGTTTTTAGGTTAATCTCTCAGAATTTTAAATAATTTCTCATGGTCCTAAAATTCTCCATATTTGACAAAGTTGTATATTCTGTGTTCTGTTTAACTTAAATATTTCCATTTAAATCGTTATCTGTTGAAAAATGACTTGAAGCATAAGGTGGGGGGGGTGTCACTTTGCTGCCTTTGGGAGGGGTCCTGTGCACCAAAACATCCCTACTACACCTCTGCATGAGAATGTGTTCAGAACAACTGTGGGGTATGGACAGATGTAACAATTTTATTGCTATTAAAGGATACTGATTCAAGCTCTTATGCTGTAACTGTTATATCTGTGTAATTCTGTAGAGATGTAAATGTAGGAGAACTGCTTCAACTTTAACTTACCTTCATTCAGGGTCAGTATTAGGGCAGTTTAGCTAATCTGTTTGACTACAGGATTATGCAGACCTAACAGACTATAATAGTTGATGCGTGCTCCAAGCAGTAGCTCCCTCTCCCCTTTTAAAGTTGCTAAAATTTATGTTTGTCCATACCCTTTATATTTATTTAGCAGTAGCTTCTGATATTGTAAAGAGATAAGAAATTTAGGACAAAAGAATTCCATACCAACTGTGCTGATTGTAATTAAGCTATCCCTTGCATCAGTTTCTCCTTTTTAACTGTGGAGATGCAAAAGTATTTTAGCTACAATTGTGGCACTAAGGCATTTGAGTAGTAGTTCTAACCAACTGACAAACAAAAGTTTCAATCTACATGTATTCTTTATCACAGGATGAAGGATTTGCATCCTCAGAACATAGTTTTTGCATATCGCTTGCTCTATGGCAATGTAGTGACATGCTATGTCACTGTGTGGCACGCTACAGTGATGCAGTGATTGTGCAGGTCTACATGTGATCACCAGCTATGTCACTGTAGCAGCACACTCCCACAGTATAGTGCGTTGCTATGGCAATGTAGCAGTGAAATCTAACTATGCACCACACATACTACACCGTGCTTTAGTACTTCCAAGAGGAAGTACTAAAGCACAGCAATATGTAGACGCACCCTTTAAGAAAGATTTGAGGAAGTTACTGGCAAGTTTATAATCTAACAAGTAAAAAACCATAGTTCTTGATTTGTGAAGAGGTTTATTACTTTAACACTTGGGACTTCAATCCTAACTCAAAATCCAGTTTCAATTCTGTTTCCTTTTTCAGTTTATATCCTCACCAAATAAATTCCTTAAATGTTTCCCTGGGAAATTTTTCCCACAAATACATGCACATGGTTCCATTGTTCTTAGACTTCATAGATTTCATAGACATTAGGGCTGGAAGGGATTTCGCAAGATCATCGGGTCCAGTCCCCTGCCCAAGGGGCAGGAAGTCAGTTGGGGTCAGATCACCGAAGCAAGATAAGCATCCAAGCATTTCTTAAAGGTATCTAGAGTAGGTATTTGCACCACTTCTGGGGGGAGTCTATTCCAGACTCTGGAGACTCAAACAGTAAAACAGTTTTTCCTTCTGTCCAGTCTAAAACAGTCTTCCAGCAGTTTGTGACAGACCTTGTCTTCCCTTGGGATGCCCTGGTGAACAGACGTTCTTCCAGTTCTTGATGCATACCCTTTATATACTTATAGGCTGCCACCAAGTCACTCTTGAGCCTTCGCTTCTCCAGGCTGAAGAGTCCCGTGTCTCTCAGCCTCTCCTTATAAGGCCTGTTCTTTTGACCTCTAATCATGCACATGGCTACTTCAAAGGGTACTTTATGAACTTATCTGTATTTAGTGTTTTCACCTTTAAGTTGTTTTCTGGAATAACTTGTTTTTAATAGTCTTCCCAGGTACTCTGTCATGCCACTTGGGAAGTTGCTGTCTTGCCAGCCTTTTTTATGTGCTACTGCTAGTCTGCTAGAAATTTCTCTTTTTGTATGGTGGTTTATATCAATATACAGCAAGCTATAACAATTCAGGGACTTTAACTAGCAATGTCATGAGAAAAACTGGAATATTAGAAGAAACATTATGCACTGTGTGTGTGTGTGTGTGCAGTGCTGCCTAAGTGTTCCTTTTCTTCTGTCGCCTTAAAATGGACTCAGTCAGTGAGGTTCTGGAGTTTCTGGCTATCTAATTCAGTTTGTATAGTATGTGTGCAAAATCATTTTGTAAGCATTCTAAGAGCATCTAGCTGTGCTATCTCTGCCAGACAGAAAATTTTTTATCTTAATTTCGTAAACATTTTGTATCGTATAAAAGTATGGACTATTTATGCATGTGTGTATTTAAGTATATTTGTGAATTAATGCTGTTTCATATACAAACAGTAGTGTGACAAGGGGTGGGCCAGAGGGGCACCAGGTGAGTAGGGCACTGGAATTGTCTTCCCAACCAATTCTCTGCTGCTCTGAGCGCACACCCCACTACACTCTTGCATGGTTTGCCCCAGGTTCCAGTTCTGTTTGTTATGCCACTGTACACTTTGAAGCTATAAAAATTTACACCAGCTGATGATCTGGTGATGACCTGTGTATTTGTATACAGAACCTATCATGTTGTAGAGTTTAGTAGTTGCTGTAACTGAAATCTGTGGTAATGAAAGCTGTCTGAACATAAAGTCTCTTGTTATAAAGTAAAATATAGGAAATAATTTTTTAGAAAGCAAAATGTTCTCTCCTATTAGTATCCTCCACCAGCAAATGCCATCTTATGTGTGACTGATGCAACACACACAATTACCTTATCAGAAGATTAAAGAAAATGTAGTAAGAATGTAGAACTAGCCTGTTAGTCTAGTAACATGTTGAATATGTTGACATTACTTAAATTAAGACAGATTTTGTTGGCTGACTTCAACTGACAAGGCATGACTGTATTTGAAAAGCTAAAAGCAAGCCTCTACAAAAAACTGGCAGCCAGTCCCTTGTGCTGAAAAGCATCTTTCTTCAGCCTCAGGTGATATTAGTATAATTCATAAACTTTATAGTGATAACAACTAACACTAACAACTGTCTACCTAAAACTGTTGTTCCATGACATCTGGCTCTGATCAATCAATTAATTAATAAGCACTTGGTAAGAGCCTTGCTGTTGTACAGTAAAAATATAAACCACTGCTACATCACTTAATATTAACTTTTAACTTTTAAAGTTGTTCTCAATAATAATTCTTCATTATTGAGCTCTTGTTTTGAGCTTTGCAGCAAGGAAGAAATTGGTTTGGTTTTTTTTCCTTGTAGGTCAGTGTTCAGATTTTGCTCTTGTACTCTCAAGAACAGCCAGACCCTACAAAGTAGAGCCCGCTGTGAATATTATTACGTTTTTATTGGGGTAAGTTATTTTCTATTGTCTTGCTTAGCAGTTTCCAAAATAGAAGCCTCTGTTAAAACAGTTGGAGTCCTTTAACTCAGATTCTTTTCATATGGATGTTACTGAAATGTAGCTATAAGAATGACTACATTTGGCTTGTAGCAATGATGAAAAAAGAGAACTAATAATACTTTCATATTTTTGGCAGGTTTGCTTGGTTTAAAGATGTATGGGATGCACTGTTCTTACCAGAGATGGATGCTGCTGTGCTGAATAATCAGGATGTGTGGTTCCCTCTTGTGTCCCTGATTCTGTTTTTTTTTGGGACAGGCATTGCCTTTTGGGGTGGCATACTCTTCTCTTCATCTCTAAGGCTCTTATCTTCTTTCTGGTTAGCCTTGACAAGGTAAAACAGCATAATACTATATGTCTGATTTGTTTTTTATTTTATTCTATCCATAAGAATTTAAGAAGTTTCATACTGGGTCAGACCAATAGGAGAGTATTGAGCCAGATCTAGAATGATCTGTTGCCTACTAGGACCCTTCCCAGCATCAACCACTTATTGGTTTAGAGAGGCCAGGGGAAACATCCCCAACCATTCTGCTCTCTAGCTGTTAATAGATTGACATCTATGAATTTATCTAGTCCCTTTTTGAACCTGGCTATGTTATCTGCCTCTACGACTTCCTGTGGCAACAAATTCCACAAATTAACTATGCACTGCATACAAAAAAGTATTTTCTCTTGTTAGTTTTAAACTTGTCACCTACTAATTTCAGTTCGTGCCTTCTAGTTTTAGTACTCTATCACTTGATGAACAATAGTTTGCTGTTCACTTGGTCCATACCCTTCATGATGCTATAGACCTCTATTATATACCCCCTCAGCCTTCTTTCCAAACTGAAGAGCCCTGGCCTTTTTAGCCTCTCTTGGTAGGGCAATTGCTCCAGGTCCCTGATCATTTTGGTTGTCCTTCTCTGTACCTTTGTTAATTCTATAAAATCCTTTTTGAGATGTGGGAACCCGAACTACACCTTTTTTTCAATATGTGGGTGCACCATGGATTTGCATAATGGCATGATGATTTTCTCCATTTTGTTTTCAATTCCCTCCTTCACGATGCTAAATATTTTATTGGCGTTTTTGGTCACTGCTGCACATTGAAATAATGTTCTTAAAGAACTGTGTACAATGACTCTAAGATGTCTTTTCTAAGTCGTAACGGCTAGTTCAGAACCCCACACTGTGTACATAGAGCTGAAGTTATTTTTCTCCAGGTGCATTACCTTGCAGTTGTTGATATAGAAGTTCATCTGCCACTCTTTTGCCCACTCACTTAGCTTGGTGAGATCTTTTTGCAGCTCCTCTCTGTCAGCTTGGGACTTGACTACTTGGAACAATTTGGTGTTGTCTCCAAGCTTGGAGATTTCACTGTGCAGCCTCATTTCCAGGTCATTGATGAAAATGTTGAACAAAATATGGCCCAGCACAGATACTTGTGGGACTCCACTTTTGATCTCCCTCCATCCTGAAAACTGACCATTTACACCAATGGTTTTTCATCTTTTTTCATTTGTGGACCCCTAAAAAAATTTCAAATCAGAGGTGTGGACCCCTTTGGAAACTTTTAAATGGAGCTGTTGATCCCTTTGAGTTGTAAGTGTGGGTATTCACATACTTTTGATTGATCATCATAATCTTTTGTGGACCTCTTAGACATAACATCTGTGGACACCCAGGGGTCCATGGACCACAGGTTGAAAACCACTGATGTAGACTACCCTTTGCTTCCTATCTTTTAATCAGCTCTCAATCCACAAAATAACCTTCCCTCCAATCCTGTGGTAGCATCCCTTTGGTGAGGGACTGCATTGAATGTGTTTTGAAAGTCTGAATTTATTTCACTCCTCTAAACTCTTTTAAGATAATTCATAAGTTGTGTGGATGACATCCTACAGTATAGTTCAACCAAATCCTTTCCTTGACCATCAGGACTTTCCAGTAATGTTACTAATGCAGTATTAGGGTCATATTATGTCTTGTTTTGCATGCTCATGAAAGGAGGCATAAGCTGATTCTTTCTTCCTTCCGCTACCTTTTTGTTTCCAGTTTTCTCAAAACAAAAATGCATCCTTCTTGTGTTTCTTCAGGAGTAGCACAATAATGCAAACAGCTGTGGAAACAGATCTTTAAACTTAGAATCTAGCCCTTAGTGTTTAGTATTGGATGCCCTAAATTATGAAACACACCAAGGAGTTAGTAAAAATTATTCAGATGCGCATTTAAGTCTGCAGGAAATGTCATTTACAAATAATGTTTGCAAACTACTTTAATCTGTTTTTAATGTAAAGAATATTAAAATATGTAAGAAGAATAAAAATAATTTGAAATAATAGAACAGTAAATTAGTCACACTGGATAATATGCTTTTAATAATTGTACACTGACATGGTCGTCTGCAAGGTGCGTATGTGGGGCATCAGAAAATTAGTTTGGTTTTATCTCAGTAGGTACTGTCTGAGCAAAGAGCAGGTTCACCATGTGAACCTTTTTATGAATATTAACACTTTTGACTTTCTGTTCAGTCGATGTGTGCTCTGAGTTACTGCCACATCTCAAGCATGCACGGTGTCACTTTTCAACTTGGCTGTACTTAATGTTAATAGAATATAATATTCGTCTCAAGTGATATAACTCCTGCTCTTTAGTTTGATGGCATTTTTGTAAGGCTCTTAAAAACAGATTCCTCTTAAATACCTTCTTGCTCTTCTGTTTTGGCTGAAATATGTGAATGCATGCTATATTTGAGAACATTCAGGATAGAGGCATTGAAGTCAGCAAAACCCACACTGCATAGTCTGCTCTGGTGACCAGTAAATTGATGCACTCTGTTCAGAGTTTTTTGGGGTGGGGGGGTGTTACTATATGGATCCTCCAACACAAGTATCTGATCCAGTACCTCCAGTTGTCTTGGCTCCTCTTATCTGCTGTTCTGTCTGAGCATCTCTGAATTTTATTTTGTTCTCCCACATAGAGTTTAGGTCAGGGGTGTTGAAGATATGATTCGGCATGTGAAGCTATAGGATCCAGCCCATGGGTCTCAGATCAACCCCATGCACCACATGTAGGTTTGGGGCCAGTCCATATTATATCCACAGACCAGCACCAGAGCCAGCACACAGGACTGGGGTTGCCTGTGCTGGACCAGCCCTGTATACTGGCTCGAGCATAGGGCCAGTCTGTGGGTCTGCTTCAACCCATGGGGCTGGTTGAGCTTGGTATCCTTGGTTTAGGTGATGTTTGGTTTCCTTTTTGTTCCATAGCAGAATTCACACATCTTTAGATGTTCTGCGCAGCATGCCTGATCATTGTAATCTAAATAGAGAAAATCCTGCATATTTTTCTTGGCAGATTGCCGTGTTTTTTTGGAGGACTTTCTTTGTTAATGCCTCCATTTAGTCATGCTCTTATCTTGTTTGAATGTATGATATAATATCTTTCTCTTAAGAACCAAGCTGTTTGCTGTCTTTGGTGTTGAATTCTTGCTATTCACCCATAGTGAATCTTAATTCCAGTCAGACCAACGCTGTTCTTTACTACCTTCTGCATCCTGTTGTCTTTGACCTTTAAGGGCATCTCAGAATTCAAGGTGTTTTATTGATCTTTCATCTTCTCTGATTCTCAGAAAATCACTACATCCAGTTCTACCAGGTGAAAATGTTTGTTTCATTTTTCAGTTCTTATTCTAAAGTAACTTTTTTTGCTATTTTTAATACGAGATTGTCCACTGAATTTTCAAAAACAAACTTTTAAAGAGGTTTTGTCTGTGTCCCCACCTCTTTTCCATGCCCTCTACCCCCATTCTCTTTGTTGCTGTTATAACTCTCCTCAGCATGTCTATATGATCTCTCAAAATCATTTCTGACCTTTAGGGTGTGTCTAAATAAACTGGCTTGTGTATCTCCACATTGTACTGTCCTATATATCATAGACATACCCTTTGTGATATCAGGTTCAAAGAATCAGAATATCTGTTCCTGTCCTTCCTAATATGACCAGGAAACATCTATGTTGGAAGAATGTTTCTCATAAAGTGAATCTTTTTGGGACTCTGAATTCTATGTTGGATGTGTAATAGTAGATACTGCCTTTCTATGATGACCATGAAGATTTAATGACGAATGAAAACAATTATATAAAGTTTGATATACACTAAAGCAAAGTAAGAAAACAAATAGACAAACAAGTAGTACCATATTTACTTGAATAGAAGAAGACCCCTCCCAATAATGGATTCTATATATGAAAAGTTTATAATTTTTTAAAATTATTTTCCAGGTATAGAGTCTAATTATTGGAGGCTTGCTTTAACTTTGTCCCCCTCCTGCTGCTACAGCAGGGAAAATAAATATGGAGGGTGGAGGGGGGGTCAGGTAGCCCCTTGCTCTCTGTTTTTCCCCCAACTTTTTCCCCTGGCAGCTTCTTCCCCCTCTTCTGTCAGACCCTGTTCTTCTCTGAGCACATGGAAGTAAGCAAATTTGAAAGCAGTAACCATGAAATTAAATGTAGTAATTTGCATATAGTATCCATGCACTTAGTTTATCCATCACTTAGAATTCATGCATGTTCTCTTCTTTTATTAAACTTGCATGTTTTAGCACAGGTGCTCCATTAACACACTTTTAAGCAGCACTTTGTGACCTACTTATATGTAGTATAAAGAATGCATTATATTAGTCGAAAGTGAAAGGCTCGTGATTTATTTACCACAGTTCATTGGGCTTGGCCCCACTAGAGTGAACAGAGTCAAAGTGACGCCACAGCTCGGCACTACTCAGTATGTGCATGTACTCCAAATACCCCCTACAAAGTATCCCTGTGCTAATTAGCCCTCACTCGTGACTGAAAGTGGGTGTTCTTATCACAAGTCCTGGGGTGCTCCAAAAATTCCTATGTAGGTGAAGAACAGGGCAACCTGATTTGGCTTCACCCTGTGGAGAGCAGGGCCACACTAATCATATGTGCCAGGCTGAGAGAGGAGGCAACAGAGGGTTCTGGGTGAGCTGTATGCAATGGTGTGGCTCACCATGACTTGTAAAAAAGTCACCAGTGAAGGGGGCTACACTTAATTGCCACTACCATATACATGTTATTCAGTTGGGCTACATGAACCTATTCTGGTGGTAGGTTCCCATCACCCTGTTTTGCCCAATGTGGGCATTGTGTTTTATAGTCATGCTCAGCGCTGGCTGAATTCAATCAACTTTGTAGTTGGTTTCCATTACTGAGCACATGCTGCTTTTGGCTAATGACAGACATGTATTTAGTGAGATTTCCTTGTATGTGATTTTTTTTTTCCATACTAATTAGGGGAAAAAACGTTGTCTTGTATTTGAGTAAACATGGTTACTTATTATCAATTATGGCATTTAAAAGATTATGAATTTAATTTGTCTGACATTCTTGAACAGATGGAGGTATGAGATAAGGGGGAAAAACTGACTGCTAAAGAGCAGTTCAGTCTAGCAGTTTGCCTGTGTGACATGACTGATTAATATTATTCTAAATTTAATTATTAATTTCTAGTAATGTAAAGAAAAAGCACAGCCTAACTCACTACATAATTTTATTTATTTATTTTTTTAAGCCATTCATAAACTAGAATCTGATTTTTCTTTCTGTTGCAGTAGACTAACAGTAATTTTGTCATTCTAGACCCTCTGGGCTTCCTAAAGACAGCAGGTTGGTCACACCCAAAAGATCATGTATGACCATTCTTCTGGTTTTCATTAGCTGGACCACCTGTGGGGCATTTGCTATATTAATTATTTATCTTCACTACTTGTTCAAGGTATTCAAACAATAAGCAATTTGATCTAGTATCAGTTTTAAAGTATTTAGGGAAACTATAGACAAATTTGCTTTTTCTGGGATTTTAAAGACATTTGAATTAAATAACTTTATTTTGTAAAATCCCAACTTAACTGATGTACTTTACAAACCAATGCTTTTTACTTTTATTTATCTGATAATATTTCTTGAATGAGTTATACACTTTGGCCTCATACCATTGTCATTTGCACAGCTATCTAATATGGTGAGTCGTGTAATTCTAAATATTTCAAGCTTTGAATAACCTTCATTATAAAGTCCAAGGGCCTCTTAAACCCCCTCATTGGAATTCTGATAGGAGAGTGGATCTTAATGTGGAAATTCTGTAAAAATCCCAACATAGAATTTTCCCCAAATTTTTCATGGGTGAAGAAGTGGGGACAATGCACACACCCACATAGTGGATAGAGTGGCTGAGGAGTCTCCAAACTCTATGGATTCCCTGTGGCCCAAAAGAGGTCAGTGCCATCTGCATGAAGGCCCTGTGTGTCCAGGAGTCCCCAGAGTGGGAAGCAGACAGGAAGCCCCATCACATGTACACCTTCCAGAGAATCTCTGGAAGTGGAGGCATCTTTTGAATATGTTTTTAAGAGATTCTTAGGAAAGAGGGAGGGGAATTAAATCAACAAAACTTAGGTAAACAAGAGGCCAGGAATATGCAAAATTTTGGAAGCTTACCTTAAGGGAGTGCCCGGGGACATTGTTGGTGTTACAGGCCTTAGTGGAGCTATGTTCCCAGGAAATAAAAAATGGGGGGTGGTGGGCCAAAGACTACATTATAGGTTTAGTGTGTAGAACAAATATAAAAGTAAATGTGTCTGTCTTTTCATAGGTTATTAAACTACATGTGAATGTAAGAGCAGAGCAAAGAGTTCTTAATGCGGTAAGTCCATTTGGCAGTTGTCCTACTTTGGCAATTTTAAACTCCATGAAAATAAGCCTAGAAGGTGGTGAACGGTCTAGAACAAGGTTTAGAAGCCCATTTGCTGCTGCGGGCTGCGGCTTGTTACCCAGCCCCTACTGCAAATCCTACCCCCCCCCCAAATGCTGTGGAGGGAATACAGAACAAGGCAGGCTGTAGAACCCTGGGGAAGCCTCCTCTGCTGCTCTGACAGGCATGCTGCTGATTCCCTGAGCTGTTGTGGACTGGATTCAGTCTTCATGGGCTGGATCTGGCCTGCAGGCTGTAGGTTGCTGACCCCTGATCTAGAGCTCTCAGCTTTGTTGCTGACTGGTTTGGTTTGTTAGTGTAAAAGAGGAAAGAGTAGAGACCCTTGAGCAATCTGTTTCATTATTGTCTGTATTAATACTATTGTAGTCCTGAGATCACTAAGGTAATACCTTTGGGTTTTTATATTGTTGACAAGAATATGAATCTCAGGCACTATTAAGCACTTAGAAAATATCAGAATAATTTTTCTTTTGTATCATTATGTAATCGATGATAAACACCCTTTGCTACTTGGGAAATATCTTGCTAAATTTCCTTTTCTCTCATTTTTGAACCTTTGTTTCACTCCTGCATGTCCCCTATTCCAGCTTGCATGGTCTTCTTCCTTTTTTCATGTATTACTGTCTTTCACCCACTTTCTTTTCTGTCCCCTGTATTCTGGTTTCTCCAGGAATTCCATTTCTTCTCTCCCCTTCTGCTCCCCACTTTTAGGTCATTTCTGAATGCCTCTGCTTTGCATCCTTCCTTCCTGGACTTGTATAGCCACTCTCTTAAAAGGAGGCTCAGTAGTTAGATTAGGTTCAGTTTCTTGAGCTTCTCTCTGTGGCTTATTAGAGAGCCACCATTCTGGGGTCTCTAAATTTTGGGCTGGTTCCGAATAAATTGCAGTTTTTTATTTTCTGGAATAAAAAATGGAACACTGCTATTATGCTAAGATTTGTATTAGTCCCATCTTCCTTCTCCTAACAATTCATGCTTTTTTGCAGGCTCCAAAGCACTCAAAAGAAACTTCAGATAATGCTAATAAAAAATTGATAAAGAACTGCCGTTCAATAGATCGAAGTGGAGAAGCAGCAAAGTTACTCGCCACTAGTGCAGTTGCTGATGAAGTTGTAAATGGTTTTAATATGCATGTTACAGTAATCATTTTACTCACATGGATCATGCTGCTCAGTTTTCCATCTTTAATTTATTGGGTAAAAAATCTCAGGTAACCTTTTAAATTGCATACAAAAAATAATCAGTATTATAGATTGCTTAGTACCTAACTCCCAAATGACTACTGTTTCAAATTTGCAGAGGTTCTTTAAGTATTAATGATTTGGTCTATGACAGAACCTAAAGGCTCTAAATGAATAACTTCATAGTACTAGTTATCCAATCACCAGGGACAATGAGGAGTGGAGCCATGGGCAAAGGCTCCAGTGCCTTTCAGAGACCACGGTCACCCGAGATTGGAGAAGATAATAGGGGCAGTTTCCCCTTCCCCTCCCCCCTGTAGACCAGGAAGGAAGAGGAGGAACAGCTGCTTCCTGCTGGCTCCTCAAACACTGGAGTCCCTGATGTCAGAAGCAGGCAGGAGGCTTTTTTTAACTGTTCCCTGTGCTTGGCTTCTGGGCACTGGGAGTCGACCACCCAGAGCAGCACTGCTCCCTGCCCACTTTTCACTCCAGAAACCCCAGAGCGGGAAGAAGGCAGGAGCCTTTGGTAGTGCCCCGTCTGCTTGGCTCCCAGGCACTAGGAGTCGATCAGAGAGAGCGGTGCTTTGAGGCCTCTGTCTGCTTTGTACATCAGAGTCTCCATGAATTTCAGCGTGAGAAGCAGATGGCAGGCCTTTGCCACACAAGTCCAGTTCCCCTGGGAACAGGAGACCTGGGGTAGGCCATACTTTCCCCAGACTAGGATCAGCCTAGTCTTGGGAAGGCTCAAGGAGCCGGGCAAAAAGAGACTTTTGCAGACTGAATGTTTGTTCTTTTCCCACTCGTGGGTTCATATCTAGCTGTGGAAAATTTCCATCACTAGAAATGAATGTTTGTTTGTGGTCCTAGCCTATTGTTGCTTATGTGGAGAATAATCCTACGTGGGTTTTTTTATTCACATGTGATTAACTGTTTGTATGTTGCCATATTGTCCTTTTGACTGTTTAACTTTTATATGATAGAGTGGTTAAAGAGAGTGAAAGTAATGTTACCGTTTGCCCCATTCACTTCTTTTGCAGGTACAATATTAGACTTGATCCTGATCCTTGTAGACCTATGGCTATTATCCTTGTACCCACTTTGGGAATTCTCATGAATTCAAGTACTACTAAAGTAAAATCAAGGTACCATAGCTTTATTTCCAGTTTTTGTATAGGCTCTCCATCTGATGTCAAGCTTCTTTATTTTTCTTTGCTTTTAATTACTCTTCCACTTCCATCCTAAATTTTGTTTGCAATGTGTAAAAGTTTGTTCAGCTGTCATTAATATTCATAGTACCTTTATAGTTAAACCTTGAAATGAGTGGATACCTTTTAAAAATTCACACAAGTCTGCTGCATCTCATTAAATCTAACAGATGACTTGTGTTTGCCAAGCAGGATATCAGTAGCTTTGAATTGACATCTAAGCAGTCTGTCAGATTGAGATCTTATCTCTTAGCCTTCCCATCATGATTCATTTATTCTTCACAGTTCTTTGGGAATGTTATGAATTGTCTTCATGAGAAAACTTTAAAAATAGTATAAATTATGGTATGAATTCGTATCTCCTTACTTGTTTATATTGCTCTGACTGTTTTGGGGACACTTTCCAATGTAAGGGTATCTTTTTATAGTGTTACTTATGCCAAATTTATAGTTATTTTGGAAGCTATTTAAACTAAGCTGAAAAAACCTGCTCAGAGTCAGTGTCCTCACATTCCAAAATTACAATGTTTTGGCTGGAAAAAATTTCTGTGTAGACAAAAATTAGTAAAAAAGGTTCATGAAAAACTTAGTATTCATGAATAATAAATGGTGTTCAAACTGAAATAGCTTACTTTGTTGAACAAAATCGCATAGGAAATATTCAGCTTGACCTTTGCACCTCATGAATAGTTTCAGTTGAGAGCACAATGGCATTTTTATATGTGCTACTGATGCAAGCTGCGCTAATTAAAAGCACTCCGGACTGCATTGGAAGCAAGTGTATCAGTGGCACAGCATGTGTCAGCATTGAAAAATGGCAGTGGTGCACTTTGAACTAAAGCATATTGAACATGTTTTAGTTCAAAGCTTTCCACCATTTTCTCA